GTGATTCACCACCAGTGGAAAGTGAAGATGTGTGTCCTACAATCCCCAGTCATCCCCCCGCCACCAAAAGTGTGGGGGGAATTCTGGGAATTGAAGTCCACATATCTTCAAGTTGCCATGGTTGAGAAACACTGTGCTATAGGGCTCAATTTCCCATCAGCCCTAGTGATGAAAAATGATGGGCGTTATAGGAGACTACTGGAGGCCCACAGGGATCCCAATTCACAGCGTCTTCCAGGTCAAAAAAAAAATCAAGATGGCAGCTACAACCAGGCCATCAAAGTTCTGCCCCCTTTTTATGTGCGTCACAACCCACCTAAAAAGGAGAGCTTTGACGGCAGGGGTTCTTTGATGCCTTTCTGGACCCTGTGCCAGTTTGTGAACTCACAACCTCATCCATTCCCTTCAACCCAGCGTGACCAAGGAGGACAATTTCTGAAGCCGAGGAGAACCGGGCTGAGGCTAGGAGAGATCCCGGATCGCCAAATGCTCTCTTTAGCAAGCAATTCGCCCAAAGCAAGTACAGCAAGAAAGCAAGCGACTTCTTTCGAAACGGGCCACCGCGATTTCTCCCGACGTCATCGAGAAACGAGCAAAGGTCCAAGGCAGGATGCCCACTTTTTATCCCTGCCAAGTGATGCAAGGCCCCCTTTCCCTGGGGTCCTACATGGGCTCGGAAGGGCCACTTCGCTTCCTCCAGTACACAAGGTTTGCCGTTAGTCCAAGAGGCAGCGCTCCTCTCCCCTGCCCGGCTTTCATGGCGAGTAAGGCGGCGGTTTTTCAAAAGGTGGGAAATACGGCGGGGCGTAATGAGGTGGGTCACCCGTTGGGGACCAGACCGAGCTGGGCGAGGGCGGCAACGAGAGCGGGTTCTCCGACAGACCAGGCGGGCTGGAGGTTGGAAAGATGCTGGAATGCTGCAACGGGAGTGGAAGAATAAAAAGACATTGAAGTGCCTTTATGAGGAACTATCGCCTCGAGCCGTTTCACCCCGGATCATAAGGAGCTGCTTTTCAGCAACTCGGGGCCCCTGACCCTCGTGAGCTGTGTCGCCACACCACAGTGAGCCACAGGCTGACCAACTACGTTTTCACCTCCTTCTGTAGTGCAGGGCTCCAACCCAGAAGCTTAGCCTCTGGTTTGGCGTGTGCAAGCCCAGTGGAGGGGGGATGGAGTAAACCATGGTTACGTTGAAATCTGTACTGCATCTTGTGGGGGAGTCTGCAGGGGTGGGTGAAAAAGGCAGGTTGGTGGCTGTGACTGAATCCCCCCCCCCGGTTTTGCATTTGATTGCGCCATTGCGCAATCCACGCCTGATGCCATTCAAACTGCCAGTATCTCCTTTTCAAATGTTTTAGCCTGGTAGAAAAGGATTGTTCAACTCTCCGAGCGGCCTCACATTGGCATAACATAACGGCTTTCTCCGTTGTTTTTTTTCTGAAAATCGCCTGACCAACCCACAAATCATGGGGGTAGAAAAGAAAACTGAAACTTAAGAATAAAAGATTATTCTTAAAGTGCTCTTGGAACACTTTAAAAGCAAGTCAATAACTATCCTCTAACCCTTTATGGGGCACTCTCCCCTACGATACTTGAAGTCCCACGGCTTTCTCTTGATTCTCCAGAGGCATCGCTCTGGAATTGAAAATACTTAATGGGGAATTCTGTGTCTGAATAAAAAGCATTGATCCCTCCAGCCATTTCGAAAGCTCAACCGCGTTTTGCTTGGGTCTCCCACCAGCTGTTTCATTACCTCCCCCCAAACCTGTTCTGCGCCCTTTCTTAAAACTTGCAACGCCAAAGGATGAACCAGTGACCTTCTGCATGTCACATCTCGGCTGGTATTGCTTGCCAAAAAATAACACCAATTTGAAAAAGGTGTACTAAAAAGCCTTTCAGCGGACGAGAACGCGCTCCCAGCTTGATGGGGAGAAGACAAAGTGCACCGTACCTGGAAGTCATACACTGAATACGGTGGCAGGTGAGGAGTGCTGTGATAGGTGTTGTAAGAGGTCACCTGGGGTCGTGAGTAATAGGACACTGCGGGCCGCGTGTTTTCGACTGTGCAGGTAAGAGTTGGGTGAGCGGGCACCTGAAAACAAGGAAGAGTGGAGAAGGCCATGACCTTGGAGAGTATTCTTCAAAAAATCAAAATGTGGCAATAACATGGCAAGAGAAGTCAGGGAAGAATGGAGGGTCTCATCCAAGTTTCTCCAACCTATGGCCCCTGGAGGCTCTGGACCCTAACTCACATCACCCTACCCAGCATGGCTCACTCCCTGGTTGGGAATGATAGGAGTTGTAGTCTAAAGCATCTGGAATGTAGTGTTTCTCAACCTTAGCAATTCTAAGATGTGTGGACTCCAACTCCCAGAATTCCCATGCTGGCTGGGGAATTCTGGGAGTTGGAGTCCACACATCT